GTCCGGCGCTCAGTTCGTGGGCGAGGTAGGTGGGCCTGCTCCGTCTATCACTCACTAACCGTAGCTCACTGTCACTCACTCAAACACTCAACCGCTCCCCAAGCGCAGCACTTTTCATCCGCCCTTTACCACTTCATATGCCACAAACCACATCGCCATTTCAAATCATGGATCCGCCTTAAACCCTGTTGCATACGAAATTCACGTCATGTCCATATTCACTGTTAACCCTTGAGCTTTGTCCTAGGGGTTGGGAGAGGGGTGGGAGAGAGGGCCTGCCTTGGCCCGAGCCCCGGCCACACAGCCTTAGGTCTTTGGTCTTTGGGCACAGCCTTGGGCCCCTCTCTGAGCTTCTCCTGCCCGCATCCAGGTACCTCAAGAACAAGTACGGCCCCCGCAAGGAGGGTAAGGACGGCGCCAGCTCGACCACGGCGGGCGGCTCGTCCGCGGGCGGTGGCAGCGCGGCCAGCTCGGCGGCGGCGCGCCGATTGTCCCTCGGCCTGCCCCTCAGCAGGCACAACTCCGCCTCTATCGACTCTTCTGACGACGACCAAAAAAACCCGGTCGGCTCCCCCACCTCCCCTACAGCAGCTACGGCGGCAGCAGCAGCAGCAGCCGGTACGTGCCGCGGCCGCAAGGGCGGTCCCTCTCCCTCTCTCACTCACACACACACACACTCACTCTTGTGCTCGCACACGAGTCATGCTCATCTCTATTCGAGACCGGTTCCCTGGCCCCTCCAGGTTTCGCAGCGGGCGCTACCTCCCCTAGGAGTCAGTACCTGCAGAAGCGACGTCAGCTGTTTCAAATCGGGAGTCGGGGGAGCGAGCCTGGAGCCTTCACCTGGCCGCGCGGCATAGCCGTGGGGCCGGACAACACCATCGTGATCGCGGACTCGTCCAACCACCGAGTTCAGGTAGGGCAATAGCTGACCGACCACCCACGCACAGCCTCTCGACATGTTGCCAAACAAATAATCCGCCAATGACGTTCTGTCACAGGTTTTCGATTCGAATGGCATCTTTGCCAAGGAGTTCGGTAGCTACGGCAACGGAGAAGGCGAGTTTGACTGCCTCGCCGGAGTCGCAGTTAACCGTATTGGTCAGTTCATCATAGCTGACCGCTACAACCACCGCATTCAGGCGAGTGTCGCACCCGCCCTGCCCTGCTCAGCCCCTCACCCAAAACAAATTTGTATTTTGGATGGTCGGCTAAGTTATCAACCTATTTTTTGGAAAAGGAAATCATGTACAATATTCGAGGCTTCTCTACCGAAGTGTTCAACACTGTCGGAAAACATCGCTCTCGAAATGTTTTTAAAACATGTACACATTTTTGTCTTACAAAACTCATAAAAAAACTCCGACCCCGTCGCTTTCTCCCCGAGCTTACTAAACAGGGCAAAGAGTTAACGAATAAAATTCGCATTGCTGAGCAGTACTTACACGAAACTATGTAGATTTAGCAAATGCTGCTGCCTCGGCTGTTGCAGCATGGCTTTCCTCAGATTCTAGAAGAACTTGAAATAA